TCTTGTTAGAGTGTGAATATGGCCTTCAGGAGAAGTAGTGTTTTGTTTAGCTATAATTTAATCTGCTTCTTGAAGAAAAATTGCTGGAAGACCTAAAGCAGTTCTTCTTTCTGCTCAAGAACATATGCATTGTTTCATTAAAGTGCTTTTTCAAAAGCAGCTCTGAAAAAGCTTGCAGACTTGAGTGGTTTAACTTTAATCATCCCAGATGTTGGCTTTTGTGTAGTGAGTTGCTGTTTGGGTTAGATACAAGCACCTTTTGGTCAGAGAAAGCAATGTTTACTGTAGCAAGGACAAGTTTTTCTTGGAGCAATAAGAATAGTTTAGCCTACTTAGAATTAAAAAAGAAAAAAAAAATATTTCGGGAATTAAGTGTTGGAGGACAAAGTTTTCTGCTTTGCAGGGTGTTCTCTCCACAGTTGCAGTTTGGATTAGTGGAAAAGCTTGCCACCAGCAATGTTCAGAGCCCTGCAAGGCCTGCTGGCTCTGCGTTTGGCTCTTAATTAATGATCCACATTCTCACAGCTGCACAGAAACCTTCTGTGATGTGGCTGTACCAGTAGAAAACAATGGAGTTATTTATCTCCAGCTGTATCTGTCACATGAATAAAGGACCTATTTGTGCCAGAGTGTGGTTGCTGTTGGCTAGAGCACGGAAATTTGAGGGGGGTTGTAGCCAAGAGACTATCATTTATAAGATTCAGAGGTCTGAGGACGAATGGTCAAGCTGTCTTCAAATGCAACGTGTTGGGTTTTTCTCAAGCACATCGTGTGTACGTAAAGCCCAGTTGGCCAATTCTGGCTACAACAGCTGCGTAGTTTGAAAAAACAGTTCAAGGCCCCATAGTGGAACACTTGAAAGGAAATGGAATACGGTCTGTACTCTGACCTGCGCTAATTAATCTCTTTCAACAAAGTCAGCGTATACCTCTGCTTTTCTGCTGAAGCCAATCAAGCTGTATCTGGTGGCTCTGCATCCAACAGTGCATATTCATTATATTATATTCATATGACGCAGTGGCTATATTCTTCCTTTTATCATGAGCTGAAAATGCTCGATAGGGCATCGCCAAAGCTTTGATGCTTCAATTGTGAACTGCTTCTGTCAAGCTTAACAAATTCCTCTAAGGTAACCTGTCAGTTGCCTCCCAGATAGGGTAAGTCTTCAGCATGCACCATGAGGACAGCGTCTTCTGAGGAAATACCTTCTGTAACTAATATATTAGTGTAACCTAATGTATTTTACATGTATTATTTTGTTTTTTACACTTAAAACTGAACTGTGTTTTCTGTCCACATTAAAAGTATCAATAATTGTTTTAATACATTTTGAAGTTACCTAAATGCAAGAAAGACAATGTTTCACAGTGCTCGGACTCATGGCAAGCAGGTCTTTCAGCAAGCTTGGGCTGAACGTGTGTTGGCCTCGGGCTGTTTTGTTGCTTGAGACGTTCAACGACACCTGTGTAACTCTGGTTTTGTCTGTTGCCAGTGAAAACTAGGCAAAACGTGGGGCTTTGTGTGTCTATCGAATGATCAAACCTCAAGAAATGGGAACTTCCTTGAACCAAGCTATGTGGGGAGAAGCTGACATAGTACTATTGATTTTTAGCTCTGATCAAGCACTCTTGCCTGACTGGCATAATCAGTGGAAGACGGAATTGCATCTGCCTGTGAAACAGCAAGGTAACATGGACATGCTTGTGTTTGTGAGTGTCCATGCGTGAGCGTGCACGGACACTTACATGTGTAGACAGATTTTTTTTTCTAGAAGCTGGGACAGTCTTGCTGTGGTTCAGCCCGGAGCATGTTCCAGAGGGTTTGCCAGCTCTTGCATATGGGTTTGGGTGGAAATGTTTGCACATTGTCCTGGCATCATTATAAGTGCCAGAGCGATCCCATTGTTTGAGTGGGTTCTTGGTCAGAGGCAATTCTGAGTGAATGAAGACTGATTTAGAGCATGTTGCAATTAATTATTACTCCCCCCCCCGCCATGTCTATTCAATGTTTTATGAACATTTAACAGAGTCTTTGCACAGCCTCGTTAAGTGCCTTAGTGGGCTGTAATAGCCAGGAGTGCTGTTAGCAGTTCCAGCCGTAAGCGTGGCCGCGTATCGTGTAGCTGCCAAAGAGCTGCTGGAGCTATGATGAGCAAGGCAACCAAATCCTAGCACATTCATCAGAAACACGTATCAAATTCCACAAACTTCTGTTACTAATCAGCAGTATCAGAAGCCGATTCACATATGCTCTGTGCACCTTTCAAATACTGCCAGAAATGGACTTCTGCAGCTGTTGCCTACAGCTGTTTGTGTTTTAGCCCTAATTTCATAGTTCTGTACATTCTGGGGAAACCAGGATGAGTTACTGACTACAACCAGGCCCTAGAGCCGGAGGGAAGGACATGCTGTGTCACATACTATGCCACAGTGTAAATAAGCCCACAAACCTAAACTTAGAGAAGTCATTCTGTCGCTGGAAGCTGATTTGTGATTTTCTTGCCAGAAAGATCATGCACTGCTTGAGGCTGACTCTGCAGAGGAGTCCTGTAGCTGGAGCTTGCTGGTTCTTGTTGGGATATCTCCATGTTCCCATAGCCCTCACCTTCTCTTTGGCTGTTCAGGAGAGGGGATTGAAGTGTCCAACCTCTCCCTCTTATCTGCTTCCCTACCCCCCTTTTCAACTCTTCCCCTCACAGTTTTCCTAAAGAAGTAACTGGTTGCTGCTTTGCACTGTTGAAAGCTGTTCTTGGTTTCTAGCCTGATGTTGTCATAGAAAGAGGTCATACCTTGAAAGCAAAATGCTGTTAGTGAAATACTAATAGAGGATGGTATTCAGTACACGCTAGTACTTCTCTAGGGAGCAAAACTTTGAAGTTAAAGAGTATGGGGGAATTTGAGTAGGGATGTGATCGTTTGATGTTGTTGGGGGGATATAAAGCTGATGGACACAGTATGCAGACACCTAATAACTGTTGAGTATTTGTACTGTTGGTGGTTCAATATTGACAAAGAAGGGAAACGATCGGGCAACTAATAGCAAAAGCTTCTCAAAGAGTCCTTTCGAGATTTACTCTGGGTTCAGATCATGGGCAAAGGTGATTAAGCGTTGAGATCACAGCAAGACTACATTTTCTGTGTCAACACCCCGCCCTTTTGGCAGCACCTTTGAGACAACTAGTGATTTCTGATATGAAGACTCAATAACACCAGCGTCACTTAAATACCTTCTCAAACTTGTACTGGTAACAGACTTGTACTGGGGATTGTTTATAACCAGGGATCTGCTCACACCCATGGAATCATTCATGCTTGAATGGGAATGCTTGTACTGGGAGGTACATGGTCCTATTGGTTCTGTGACATCATTTCCCTCTTCTTCCTCAGCTGATGGATGTCAAAAATTGTCAAAAATTGTGTTAAATGTGGGACAAGTAGGCAGGTGAAAATAAAAAAATGCTTTTTTCCTGTTCTGCGCCAAGCGGAGATGAGAATGCCCTCCTGGAGCTTCCTGGAGAAGAGGGACGGGAAGAAGAAATGAGGGCATTTTGTTTGCAGGATGCCAGTCAGGTTGTAGAGGGGGTTGAGGAGTGAAGGGGTTTCAGGACCTTTGAACTCTGTCTTGTGGATGGAGTGGGTTTTCCCTTTATGCCCATCTTGGATCCAGTACCATTTGTGTGCAGGTGCTCATAGGGAAAAGCTATTCAGTCTCGAAATGGATAGCTTTGCCATCACATACACCTTGTGACATGTGCCTTTCTTCCCTCTACTTGCGCAATATTTTATCAGAAAGGGGGGAAGCTGAGATAAGAACTCATAAAACCACGTAGAAGTAACTCAGACACATAAACTGTTGGGAGCATGAGCATGGTGCTGCCTCTCCCTGCATCCTTATGTTTTGCGTGGGAGTCTGGCTCTGGAGGAAGCAAAAACTCCTCCGAGGGCTGAATGTCACAGTCAGCTCAGAGAATTTCCAAATTGAAATGGTTAATTTTGTTACTTGATGAATGGGGAAACCTTGCCACTTGGAGAGAGCATCAAGTCTTAGCCAGAAACTGAGAAGTCCATATAAATAATGTGTTTTTTTTTTTTTTTTTTTTTTTTAAATCCCTACAGTCTTGAAGTGCCAAATAGATACTTTCCACTAAGCTCATAGTAGTCCTTGACTTGGAAGCATAGGATTGCCTCCTAAGATTCATTGTGTGTCAGCAAGAACTGAAATATTGTGCCTGGGGAAAAAAAACCAAAACATCCTAGTTTTTAAAGCAGCACTATTCTGTAGGTTGTGCTGATTATTGCTTTGTGCTGCATGACTGTGATTTTTGGCACGTGGTGTCACATACCAAATTCCCAAAATAAAATGCTACATGATATTCTAAGAGCTCTTAGGAAGCTTTAAAAAGGGATTTGTCCACTGAGTGGGTATCTCTT